GCCGGTCTCCGAGGAAAGACAACCGGGGAGTGGGCGCCGCGCCGTCCGCTGCGATGATTCCCCCTCAGGAGGCTTCCGCCCGGCGGCGGGAGATCGAGGACAAGCTGAAGAAGGTGAAGCGGGGAGAACGCGAAGGACGGGCGCCGGGTGTGGGCCGCGGGGTGGGAGGGAGGGGAGGCGCGGGTGGGGGGAGGCGGGGGGGGGGGGGGGGGGGGGGGGGGGAGGGATGGGTGGGGGGGGGGGGGGGGGGGGGCCTGTCCGCCTCTCCTGGCAGGAGGAGGAGACGCTGTCCTTCATCCGCGACAGCCTGGAGAAGAGCGACCAGCTCACTAAGAACATGGTGAGGAGGCCTGAGCCGGGAGGCGGTGGGTGGCCGCGGGGCTGTGCGGGCTGCTCCGCTCCCCAGTCAACGCCCCTCGCTGAAGGCTTGTGCGGCCCTTCACTGATGCCCGTGAATAGGCTGGGACTGGCCCCGGGTCACTGTCGAGGGGCGCGTGCTCGCCAGGAAGGCTGGTTCAGGGACTTTACCGAGGCAGCAGCGGAGTCCCAGAGGGCTTTCGGGAGAGAACCATCGCAGAGAGCCAGTGGATCTTACATCCAGCCCTTGGCCCACGGCTTGTTTTTGTGGGTCTTGGCGGGCAAGACTTGAATTTTGGTTAATGATGTGTCTGCTCAAACAGACACAGACAGCTTCCCAATGTGTCTGAAGGGGCCGATGAACCAATGCAGGTTGCACACTGCCTGATATATGATGGGTGCTCTAAAAAATGCTGTTATATTCTTTCTTTCTCTCTCTCTCTCTCTCTCTCTCTCTCTCTCTCTCTCTCTCTCTCTCTCTGTCTCTCTTTCTTTCTTCTTCCCGAGGCAGGGTTTCTCTGTGCAGCCCTAGCCATCCTGGAACTCGTTTTGTAGATGAGGCTGGCCTTGAACTCAGAGTGCCGCTGCCTCCTCAGTACTGACACTATAATGGCCTGTGCCACCACCGCCCGCTTGCTTCCTTAGTCTTAGAGGAAACTGGAACACAAATTGAGTAAATGCAAACTTGCATTGTGTTTAGTCACACAATAATAAAGTTCTGTGCTTCTTTAATTAGATTCACCCTTAGGGAAAAAGGTTTTTAAGGTAACATCGGTGATTTTGAGACTTCTCTTCATGAAGCTACTTCCTGTTCAGTCTAGGACAATGGCAGAGAGAACAGAAATTGAGATTGGGCTTTCGAGGGTACAAAGGAAGCTATCCTGAGGTGATTATCTTTTTTTTTAAGTTTACTTTTACTTTGTGTGTGCATTTGCACTGTGAGTATGCAGTGCCTTCAGAGGCCAGAAGAGGGCATTAGGTCCTCTGGCCCTGGAGTTGAAGGCAGTTAGTTGTGAACAGATATGGTCGCTGGGAACTGAACCCAGGTCCTCTGTAACAGCAGCAAGTGCTCTTAACCATTGAGCCACCTCTCCAGCTTCCTGGGGTCACTATCTTAGGAAGAATTAGTTTGATGTTTTTATTGCCTTAAGATGAGCACCAGCTGTTCTTCCAGAAGGCGCAGTCAGTTTCCAGCACCCATACGGTAGCGCACAACTGTCTGTCACTCCAGTCCACAGCATCTGGCATTCCTGAAGAGACATACGTGCAGGCAAATAAATCAATAATCAATGCACATAAAAGTAAACCTTTAAAAAGTAGAAAAGATGAAATTTCAACAGTTTGCCTTAAATCACAAGCCATGTACCAAACTAGGGACACAGTAGCAGCAAACAAGTCAGTTCCTTCCTATACTTAGTTGATTGGCTAGAGAACCAAGAAAAGCTGAGAGACGCCGGGATCGCCCTGAGATCTGTGAGCATGAGGCTTTCCTCCCTCAGGTGTCTATCCTGTCATCATTTGAGAGCCGTCTCATGAAACTGGAGAACTCCATCATCCCTGTGCACAAGCAGACGGAGAACCTGCAGAGGCTGCAGGAGAATGTCGAAAAGACACTATCCTGTCTGGACCATGTCATCAGCTATTACCATGTAGCCAGCGACACTGAGAAGATCATCAGAGAGGGGTGAGTTTTGTGCCGAGGGCCACATAGCTAATGTCCCCTGGACCAGTGGCACTAGGCCTTAGAAAGGGACTAAAACATATTTGAGCCTGGAGCCCCTCATGGGATATGCAGTCTCTTCCAGCACACCATGTCCTTAGGTCAGCTTTCAAGGCTCACCCAACATGTTTTCCTTCCCAGCCCCACAGGTAGGCTGGAAGAATACCTGGGAAGCATGGCCAAAATCCAGAAGGCTGTGGAGTATTTTCAGGACAATAGTCCAGACAGCCCAGAGCTCAACAAAGTGGTAAGACGCCTTGTGAGAAGGATAGGACATCAGTCCGTGGTTTCATGAGGGACACGTGGCCGGTGTAAAGCAGTGTATAGAAGCCAGGTATGGTGACTCATGCCTAGAGCTTGTGACATTGATGCAGAAGGAGCATGAGTTTGAGGCAAGCTTGAGATAGGTAGTGTTCCACACTAGCCTAGGTTATGCAGTAAAACCACATCTCAAAATATTAAGAAAGTATATAAAAAAAAAAGTAAGATACTCTGGGTGGTGGTAGCACATGCCTTTAATCCCAGCACTCAGGAGGCAGAGGCAGGTGGATCTCTGTGAGTTCGAGGCCAGCCTGGTCTACAGAGCGAGTGCCAGGACAACCAGGCCTACACAGAGAAACCTTGTCTTGTGGAAAAAAAAAGATAAAAAGAATAAGATACATAGTATTCAAAATGCAGGCGTTAGGTTCTGTTCCTTGGGAATTATAGATTAACTTTTTTATCATACTTTTATAGTTTAGTTAAATTCTACTTCAAGTGTAGGTTTAACGTTTGATTTTCATGTGTGCATTGGTGGTTTCTTCACGATGGTAAGAATTCATCCTGTGCGGAGGCGGGTGTGCTGCCTCGTGCCGGTGATTGTAACGCTTAGGAGGGTGGTGCAGGAGTATTGCCATAAACCCACATTGGGCTATGTAGAGAATCCCAGGCTGGCCAAAGCTGCATAGCAAAACCATGTCTCAAAGCCATAAAGCTAAACAAATGAACGAATCACATAAAATTGACCATCTCAGCCAGGCATGATGACAAATACCTATACTCTTGGTACTTGACAGGCAGAGGTAGGAGGAGGACTTCAAATGTGAGGACAGCCTGGGCCACATATCATACTTGAGGCCACCAGGAGCTCACAAAACAAAAGCAAAGCATCAGTTGTTGCCATTGTGACTCTTTGTAAGTGTGCAGTTTGGTCATAGGTGCATTCCCACTGTCGTCCCACACGACCCCAGTCCTCCAGCCCAAGCTCTGGACCATCTGACACTGAGACCCTGGTTGGGGAGCTCATGTGTAGTGGGGGTCGGTTGAAGGAAGGGGGCACTCCAAGATGACATTTTAAGGCCTATGTGGCCGCAGGAAGGTCCAGCCTCTCTGATGGACTGAAGCCGGAACAGCCGTACAAAAGTGTATTTATTGATTGTTACACCAAGTGTTTACTGGTACCGAGGTCCCTGATCTCATTTACATGGCTTGCTGAAGGACAGCATCCCATGACTCTAGTCCTCTATTATGTGTCGTTTGCAGTACACAGGGGTACAAGAGCCCAGTCCCAGAAGGCCTTTGCTTAGGAGAAGCCTTGCCTGTGTCAGAAAGGAGGGATTTATGTGATGCTGTGGGCAGGCTAGTAACTAGCCAGTGCTCTTGTTCCACTGGCTGTTTTGAGGACTGACGTCATCAGGGAACAGTACTTTGTTACCCCAGTAACCATAATACCACAGCCCCTCAGTGGTGAGCCTAGCTTTTGCCACTTGATTCTTTGCGCGCGCGTGTGTGTATGTGTGTGTGTGTGTGTGTGTGTGTGTGTGTGTGTGTGTGTCTAGAAATGTGTGGGTGAGTGCACATATATTCATTTGTATGTTGTTCCTCGGTAATGACACCTTGTTTTTTTGAGTCAGGGTGTCTCCCTGGGATCTATGGCTCACTGATTAGGCTAGGCCAGCGAGCTACTGAGTCCCAAGGATCTCCCTGCTCCCTGTTTACACACACACACACACACACACACACACACACACACACACAAACGAGCAAGGATTAAAAGCTCTTACCATCATACTCATAAGTGCTCCTTTGACTTCCATAACACCATACATAGCACATGTGTGCACATGTCTTTAGGGGTTTTTGTTTGTTGTTTTTGAGACAGGTTCTCACTATGTAGAGATCTGCCTGACTCTGTCTCTCAAGTGCTGGGATTAAAAGTGTGTGCCAGCACAGCCAGTCTCATACCCAGCTCTTTTTTTGTTTCTTTTCTTTTTCTTTCTTTTCTTTTTTTTTTTTTTAGCTCTGGAACCTCTCCTGGCACTCACTCTGTAGACCAGGCTGGCCTCAAACTCACAGAGATATGCCTGCCTCTGCTTCCCGAGTGCTGGGATCAAAGATGCGCCACACTCCTGGGACAGCCATCAATTTTGGGGAACAGAAAGAAAGTAAACACCAAGTCAGGCTTCCCAGTGTTTCTTCTGTGGGTTGACAGAGGCATGGCTGGGGCTCACAGGCCGGAGCGCAGGAGAGGATGGGGCTGCAGAGCACAGCTCAGCGGCAGCCTGCTTCCCTCTGGTGTCCTTGCAGAAGCTGCTGTTTGAAAGGGGGAAGGAGTCACTGGAGTCTGAGTTCCGCAGTCTGATGACCCGGCACAGCAAGGTTGTCTCCCCTGTGCTCATCCTGGACCTGATCAGTGGTGATGAGGAACTGGAGGTCCAGGAAGATGTGACCCTGGAGCACCTGCCTGAAAGTGTGCTCCAGGATGTGATCCGCATCTCCCGCTGGCTGGTGGAGTACGGCCGGAACCAAGGTGAGAGGGTTCCCTCTGCCAGAGAGTGGAGTGGCGGCTTTCCCACCACCTGCCCCAGCCTTTTCTCTCTTTCTGTGACAGTTTCTCAGTGTAAAGCTCTAGCTGTCCTAGAACTCATGTAGATCAGGCTGGCCACAAACTCACAGAGATCTGCCTGCCTCTGTCTCTCACGTGCTGGGACTAAAGGCATGCGCCACCACTGCCTGGCTCAGTGTTTTAGATTTATTTTCCTTTGATTTACATGTATGTTGTGTGTCTGTGTGAGTATATGTCACATGCATGCACCTGCCCATAGAGGCCAGATGAGAGTCGTGTCCATGGAACTGTACAGGTGGTTGTGAGCCACCGGGCATGGGTATGGGAACCTAACTCAGGTTCTCTGGAAGCAACCCATACCTATACCTATACCTTGCACCACCACCCCCAACATAAAACAACAACAAAAACAAAAGCAGAATAAAACAAAAACTCATGATACCAACACAAGTTGGTAGGGTAGATGGCAGAAGACTACTGGCCTGACATTCAGGAAGGAGCTCCTAGCTTCGAACCCCAGCCTTGCTGGAGGATCCTTTTTCCCTATCAGACTTTGCCTGGTTTGGGATGAGGCCACATGATTGGCTATAAGTTAGAGCAGGTGCTAGGAAGAGATTAAGCTGTAGCACCATGCACTCTGCTGCCTGCCTGTACAGAAGTGAAGCAGGCGGAGGGGTCCTCCTTGCATACTTCCTTTGCTCTCTCTCCAGATTTCATGAATGTCTACTACCAGATTCGCTCTAGCCAGCTGGACCGCTCCATCAAAGGCCTGAAGGAACATTTTCGAAAAAGCAGTTCTTCCTCTGGGGTTCCCTACTCCCCTGCCATCCCCAACAAGAGGAAGGACACACCCACCAAGAAGCCCATCAAGCGGCCAGGTGAGCTCCAGCAACTCCCTGAAGTCTGGGTTGTCTTTGTCCACTCAGGTGAGCAGTGTCAGCCTTCTGGAGCCAATATCTGTAGTCACCAGATTCCCAGGGACACAGGATAGAGCAAATGTCCCCTACCCAAAAGGCCCTGTAGATCCTTATATCCAGCAGCTGGGTGATTTCCATAAGGTCTGAGGGATGGTAGGGGCGGGGCCAATGGTGTGTTTAATTGTCTCTGAGGCAGGGTGGCAGAGGCCATAGGTCATAGTGACTTGCTAGGGCTCCTTCCCCTTGCTGTGTGGTCCTGTTAGGTAAGAAGAGGAAGGTACCCCGGCCTTCCAGAAAGGCAGAGCAGTATAAACTGCTCCATAGCTGGAAAGTGGGCATGGCGTAGAGGCAGGCGTGGGTGGTCAGACAGCACTGTGCACTTCTCTCCACCTCACGTCCACACAGTCCATGCTCCAGGCTAACTCTGTCAGCCTGGCTGTCTTCTGCCTCCAGAGACGCTGACCTCAGTCCCGGGAGAGATATGATGTTCCTGTATGTTGGCTACTGCAGTAGCACCAGGAAAGAAAGCCAGTGGGCTGTAGTGAGTGCCAACCCTGGGCTTTTAGTCACTGCTCAGGCCTGGCTCGGGAACATGCTCTAACAGCACACCTTGAATAAAGTTCATGCCCTCGTTCTTCAATCTCGAGCCCTTTTCAACCTTTGTTTAAGGTTTGGAGACATGGTAAAGGAATCTGCCTTTAGGGCTTGGTGGCCTCTGCAGGATTGAATTGTCTTCTGCCCTTTGTTGAGTGTCCTGGCTGCCCCAGTAGAGAACTTGCTATAAACAGTGACTCTCATTGTGCTGGGCTACAGTGGCCTGCATGGCAGGCCAGTCCATCTGTGTGCCTTCCGTGTGTGGGGAGGAGCTGTGTCCATGCGGCTGCCAGGGCCTCAGCTGCTCTATGCTCGCTTTCTCATCTCTCTCTTCTTTGACAAGCCCACTGGAGGCTCTGGAACCCTGCTTGCCCTGCCCCAGTGTCCACTGGCCTTGCAGGCCCTAGCCTTTCAGGAGGAGGCATATAACCTCAGGGCTCTCCATGAACTTAATCGTCCTTGTCATGGAGATTTGACAGACTATGAGGTCCCTGTGGTTCTGTAGGGCTTTAGGAGTTGGCAGGGATGAGTGACTATGGAGTCAGGCCCTTAGGACATCTGTCCCCACTTTGAGGACAAAAGAGCTGCCGGCCTCATTGATGAGGCACCAACCTCAGCATCTGCCCTTATAATTGGGTACCTGATGGACTTGGTTGCTGCCAGGTCAGCATCCCCATTTCCTTGCAGCCAGTGTGCTGGTTAGGTCCCTGTTGAGCCCACAGCCCATCTGTTGCCTGGTAGGTTGTGGGGCTGGAATCTGATTCACTCATTACTAGGGCGCTCACTGAGGAGGGAACACGGAGGGAAGCAGATGTGAGTTGGCCTGCCCAAAAGGAGTTACTGGTAGCTAATTTCAGTGTGCTGCAGAGATGAGCCCGCTGAACCCTGCTCCGCCCTGCCTAGCCTGGTGGATGCTATGAGGACAGCAGCCTTGCTGGGTTCAGGTGTGGTGGAGGGAGCCTCAGAAAAGGTGGCTCAGTTAAGCTCCTGAATGACTCACCTCCCCAGTACATTCTGCTAACTAGGAGCAGTGCCTGCTGGCTGACATGCTGCCTGTGTCCCCACAATGCAGGCTCCCAGGAGCTGGTCGCCCTGGGCAGGGCTGCTACATTTCATTTGTTCTCACTTGTGATACTAACTGTTCTTTCTCCCCCCATGGCAAGAGTGTGTGTCTTTACCATGGTTCACCCTGCAGGTGGTGGCTCCTACTGGCCCCTCCCTAGCTTTTCAGTTTGTTACCATCGCTGTGTTGGCTGAGCACCTTCTGGGGTGTGGGGGCCTCTGGGTGTTGGAACTTCAGGCTCCCTAACAGCTCCCCAACCCCAGGTCCCTCAGGGCTGCCTGCCCTGGACTGCTCTTTGGCTTATGTCCCAACACTGAGCATGCCCAGGGAACTAACTCATCCTGGGGCTTAGGCTGATTTCCAGGTAGCCCCCGGTCGCCCCACCTGCCCTAAGTGTGAGCACCTCGCCACTGGGCCTTCAGCCCACGCTGCTAAAATGACACTCAGTAGGACACCTTACTTTTCCCCATGGATCTCTAGGCACCTTATTTTTGTCACCTTCTGTCCCTCTTAGTGAACTCAGAGCCAGACTGGGGGTCAGTGCAGAGCCCAGGGCTGAGCTGGGACACATTTTCTTCTCTCTGGTGGCCCTGGCAGGACCCACTGGCAGAGGTGTTGAGGGGCATGCTCACTGTTGGGGAGGGTGGGGCTGGGCAGGTGGAGGGCCGCTGCTGTGTTCTCTCACTCATTCCCTAGGTCTTCTTCTCTCCTCTCTGTGTGGCTCTGGTGACAGGGACGATCCGTAAGGCTCAGAACCTTCTGAAACAGTATTCCCAGCATGGTCTAGATGGGAAAAAGGGGGGCTCTAACCTCATTCCTCTGGAAGGTAATCACCCTGTGTTCCTTTTCCGTCATCCTTCTTTCACTATGAGTCCACTGGCTCGTTAGGCGGGGCAGAGCCTCTCCCAGGAGGGCCTTGGGACAAATTCTGAGAGGGCTGGGTGGGAGTGGCAAACCCTTGATGCTCCTTGGGCTTTAGCAGGCCCAAGGACAAGTTCTGTGACCCTGGCCTGGTCCTGCCTGGTCCTGCCCGGCTCTGCCCTTCCTAAGGTTTGTCCTCCCTGTCTCTGTCCTTGTGTCCTGTGTAAACTCCGAGAAAATTGTCTTGGGGCAGCCCTTTCACGCCCAGATCAGCAGGGCATGACTAACTTGGTCAACGCCTACTGGCTACCCCTCTCTGTAGAAAGGGAAACTCTTGTAGCTAAGGGTACAGGCTGCCTGGAGGACATGTCCCTCCTCTGCTGTCAGGGGAGGCACAGCCAGAGCAGCTGTGCAGGTGGACCCAACCTTCTCCCAAAGAATCACCCTGGGATGTAAAGGAAGACAGTCCTCATTCACTCAGCAGTGACATTTCTCACCGAGTCTCCCTGGGGCCATGCACCTTCTCTTGGCCTCCCTGAATCAGAAAGCAAACAGCCAGGGATGGTCCTTAGCGCTCCCTGAGAGTCAGGCTTGAAACGGCTGTTCCCGTGGGTTTGCAGCAGTGGAGGGGCTCGGCGCCCTCCTCTGTGTTCCCTCCCTAGGCCCCATTTCATGCTCCGCTCCTGGAGATCAAGGGCTTCTTCCCTGTACCCCAAGGGGCAGCTGCCTGGCCCCTGGATAAACGCTGCTTGTGTTTGTGCGGCTGACATCTTGCTAGGTCACGAGCATGATTTCCGAGTTAAGCACCTGTCCGAGGCCCTGAACGACAAGCACGGGCCACTGGCCGGTGAGTACCGTAGCCCAGCCCCAGGGCAGCTGCTGGCACTGCCTATGGAGCAGTCCCCGGATGGCCTGTTCTGCTCTAAGGATGGGCCGGGCCTGTGGCCTGGCTCTCATGTCTGTCTCCTTTGGGCCCTAGGTCTCCTTGCCTCTTGTGAGATGCTTGGTTCTTTGGGCCCAGCCAGAGGAAAAGCTGCAGCTTGAGCTTGGAAGACAGGCAGAAGGGCAGGTGGCTCCTCTGAGGTCATGAGTCGAGTATCTCACTTCTTGGGGCAGCTCAACAAGGAGCCTCCCTCTCTGAGGCTCACTTATCTCTTCTCAGATTGCTTTGCTTTGTTGAGATAGAGTCTCACGATGTACCTCAAGCTGGCTTTGAACTCAGTCATCACATCTCAGACACCTGAGTGCTGGAATCATAGTTGTGCATCACACTTGGTCTCTTCCCAGAATTAGTTCTCCTCTACACACACTCACACACTCACTCACACACACACACACACACACACACACACACACACACATGCACACATACACACACGCATGCACACACATACACATGCACGCGCGCGCACTCACATACATGCATATACACACATACACACTCATTCACACACATACACACACGCATGCACACACATACACATGCACGCGCGCGCACTCACATACATGCATATACACACATACACACTCATTCACACACATACACACACGCATGCACACACATACACATGCACGCGCGCGCACACACACACACACACACACACACGCCAGCCTCATAAGCCATAGCCCATTACTCCCTTACACTTTTCAGGGCCTGAGGAGGTTGGTAATGGCCTTCATAGGAACCACATCTCCCAGATTGAGGACCACAATGACTGCCTCCATAAAATGACACTGCCACCTGCCCAGTCCAGACTGTCCTCTTCCAAACACAATCCAGAATCCTCATGCTTGGGGTCAGATAACTACCCAGGGAGTTGGTTTAGGAATTTTCCTTCCTTCTAGCTTTTTCCCACCACCTCTAGTGTTTGATCTGGGGCCATAAACACGGCCTATGCCGAGTGGAAAGTGATACCAGGAGAACGTTTGGACGTGGCGCCTGCTCTCCCAGGCCTGCCAGAGCAGCTCTTGGGGCATCCTGTCACAATAGCCTGCTCTTTCCATTCACTGCTGGTCTGGGCTCAGCCCAGGAGCTGGAGAAACTCAGACCCCAGCAGAGTGAGTGGCATCTCCCAGACCGGCCACTCAGGGGCACTGCTGTCCCCCTAGGGAGAGATGACATGCTGGATGTGGAAACGGATGCCTACATTCACTGTGTCAGCGCCTTTGTCAAGCTGGCCCAGAGTGAATACCACCTGCTGACTCTCATCATCCCGGAGCTCCACCAGAAGAGAACCTTTGACTCCTTGATTCAGGTCTCACCCTGCCCACCCTGCAGCTCCGAGCACTGACCCATTCTGCAGTGACTTACTGCAGAATCTGGAGGGCGTGGTAGGCCTGTTGCCCTAAGCCCTGGATTCTTTGGTGTAGTCCATGACCCCTCCCCCACCCTTCACAGCTTGTTAGCTCCCCTGCACACCCACAGGGTGCCCCGCTGTTCCTAGGGACCAGCTGTGCTCTGCCCCTGCCTGAGCAGGGTCCTTGTCCTTCCCCCAGGATGCCCTGGACGGACTGATGCTTGAGGGGGAGAACATTGTGTCTGCTGCCAGGAAAGCCATCATCCGCCACGACTTCTCCACAGTGCTCACGGTCTTCCCCATCCTGCGGCACCTCAAGCAGACCAAGCCTGAGTTTGATCAGGTGCTCCAGGTGTGTGGGCCTTTCTTCTCCCCCCCCCCCCCCGCCCCCCGCTCCCCTGTACTCGGTTCTGGGGAGCTCTGTTCCAGGCCCTCCTCCCACCTGTCCTCTGAGGTGACTCCTGGGAGGCTGTGGACAGCTTAAGATGCTCACAGGGAAAGAGCAGAGCGTAGTTAATCCGGAGCTGGAGAATGCAGCCTCTGGAGTGAGGGTGAAGGACCTAGAAGAAGTTAGACTCACAGCTTGCTGGAGGGAGTAGTGAGCCTGACTCTGAATAAATATGTCAGTTGCCATGTCCTTCCTCAGGGCACAGCAGCCAGCACCAAGAACAAGCTGCCCGGCCTCATCACCTCCATGGAGACCGTTGGAG